CTACGTACAAAGAAGTGTATTATTATTATTATTATTATTAATATTATTATTTCTCTGATTTATTTTGTTCGTTATATTATTTCAACTAACATAATTATTCCTTTTTCTTTACGTCATTTACACAAACGCATAAACATTTATACGAGAAATTTGATTGAATTATTTTGTTTCTACTGCAATCATCCCAATCAGCATTTTCTATACAATTTGATAAATCAAAAAAAGAAAATCGTTTTTCTTCCAAGGTAACGTTTTTTTTCAAGATCACCCTATATATACTTAATACTTCATTGTTAGTTGCGTTGCTAACGATTATTGTGAAAACCATGGAAACGTGTTCTGCTCGTGTAACGTTAAGTAGAAAATGTCTATGATCAATTTTTGATCATTGTACACGGTTTTATTAAGATACCGGTAAACTATACACACACGAGTGCTCGAATTAATTAGTATGCGTGTTATTTATATATATCCAATAGAAATTTAAAATCTGTGAGATATTTTTGAAATTTATGTGATAGTGCAAATGATCGATAATATTATTATAAAGTTCGATCAAGTTTTTTGTTTATTATAAAACTTCGAGGTAACATAATTATGCGAAGATAATATACCGAGTAATTATTTATATCACTATAACGCGTTTATCAGTTACAACAACAACTTAAAAAAACGTACGTTTTACTTTATTACAATAAAATGATAATCATTATGTAGAATAGGTATCATAATTGGAGTAGATTAAGATTTTGGATTTGTTTTTAAAAATATACACTGAAAAAAAGTATATATATGGTAAGAGAGATACAAAATTTAAATAATTCATTATAAGAAATTAATTGAAACATTTAAATATTTCTTTTTTTCTTTTTTTTTGTTCTTTCATTGAAAAAGATAAAGAGTATATTCAGTATCCTAAATAATGGAATGTTCCAATGATATTGTCGAATGCAATCGTAAAAGAAAACCTTCGAAATCATCGGAAAAATGTATTGAATGTGCTACGAAAAAACGTACTTTTCAAATAAGGGATACCGATGGTAAAATGCAAAGAATTACAAGAATTCCTGTGTTGGATCATCCACGATCTAGTACAGATCATACCATGGAAAATATTTCAAGGTTCGTACGAGTCTAAAAACGAATTTTTTTTTCAATGAAACAACGAATTTTATTTTTCGTTTCGTTTTTTCTTTGTACATAAGAAAAACAAAAATTAAACTCTGCTTTAATTTTCTCGCGTAAGATCATTATATTATATAATAAATTTTTTATGTAATATTATAATATA